GGAGACGAAGCAATACGTGAGGAAGAAGGTAAAATGTTGTCGAAGACAAAGAAGTTCTCTTCGCGAAGCAAGCTGTGACGTTTTACAAAGGCCCCACTAACCCTGGCGAGCATAAAAGGCACTCGACCAGGCAGCCTCACTACCTGATTTGGCCAAATTAGCGGTTAACTTACCAGAAAGCCAAACGGCGTAAAATCGGAACCTGAATGGAAAACAAGGATCGATTACCCTACAAAGGTACCTAGTATCTACTTTGCTTCACATGTAAAGAGCGAAAAGTGAGTGCTTCCAAAGGAAGTACGAGAAAGACTTTGCGTACCTAAGGTACACCTACCTTACCTTAGGTTTTCCAAACACTGCGCATTGATGGCCTGATGATGTATTTCTCAGCTAAGGTAGCCAACCTACCAGGTACCTAAGTTCAATGTTGGACCTGAGTTAGACATTGTCAAAGCTGGGAAGATCCTACCTAAGCTATACCTACCTTACTTCGTACCTGCCTCAGATATGTCTCGCGATCACGTGATATCGCGTTTTAATCCAGCGCGACCCGGACATGGGCAACGCGCCCTTGCCTTCCTTAGCTAAATCAATCATCTGCATGTGCCTGGTTTTTGTCAGGGAACCACTATCACAAGGGGAAAAACAACATCATCGTCCAGAATGTTTTAATTATTGATTCAAATCACTGCATACTGAGAAGCCGCGCGTCACTAAACTTATTCGCCACCATGGACAGTGATGAGTTCGACGATGACATCGCTGATGAGGATTTCATTACCGCTCTTGATCAAGTCTCGTCTTCTATGAACGGACAAGGCAACACAAAAGCTTTACATGCAGTAGTATCGCAACCCTCAAACAGGCCAAACTCTGCAGCTGTGGCAGCTTTGGAGTTGGAGGATCTCCCCTCAGATGCATTCTCATCCCCAGAGCCACAGTCGAGATCGAATGTGTCTGTAGCAGCCCCAGCTGGTCCAGCCCCTCGAGCAGGGTTCAATCGAACAAGTTCCGGAAACTGGCGTCAGACGACCCTTTTTGGTGGCTCGCTATCAAGCGATGGCCCGCGCCTTTCCCAGCCAGCAGCGACAAGAGTGTTCCGCGCCGATCTTCCTCGAGAAGAACCAACACACCATGAAGTCGACACTGAGGCTATGCAGACATGGGTTTATCCCACCAACTTAGGCGCTATTCGAAATTACCAATTCAGTATCGTCAAAAACAGTTTGTTTAACAATACCCTAGTAGCATTGCCAACTGGTCTTGGGAAAACTTTTATTGCTGCAACCGTCATGCTCAACTTCTATCGATGGACCAAGAAAGCCAAGCTAGTATTCGTCGCTCCAACAAAGCCCCTTGTGGCACAACAAGTCGATGCTTGCTACAATATTGCGGGTATCCCCCGGTCTGAAACAACACTGTTGACAGGCGATATCCCTCCAGCTCTCCGTGTTGATGAGTGGGAGTCACGTCGAGTCTTTTTCATGACTCCCCAGACGCTACTAAATGATATATCACACGGATATGCCGATCCGAAATCTATAGCTCTGTTGGTCATCGATGAGGCTCATCGCGCTGTTGGAGAGTATGCATATGCCAAGGTCACAAAACTCATCCGACGATTCTCCAAGAGCTTCCGAGTACTAGCATTGACTGCCACACCTGGCTCAAAAATCGAGACAGTACAAGAAGTCATTGACAACCTGGGCATATCTCATTGCGAAATACGCACAGAAGACTCAATAGACATTCGTCAGTATGTTCATCAGAGGAATATCGAACAGGTTGTCCTTGATCCGTCCGACGAAATGGTCCTAGTTAGCGAACTTTTCACCAAGGCCCTGAAACCGATGACGGATAAACTGAGCTCGCAAAATATCTGGTTTGGACGAAGCCCGATGGCTATCACAGCATACGGATTGATGCAATCCCAAAGAGAATGGTTCGCTTCTCGAGGGAGGCATGCGAACCAGGGCGTGCAACACATGATGCGAGCTGTCTTCAGCGTTCTTACCAGCATCGCACACTCGATAAAATTGCTAAACTTCCACGGTATTAAGCCATTCTATGACAATCTTGTCGACTTGCGTAGCGAACAGGAAGGCAGAGGAGAAAAGGGTTCCAAGTACAAGCGCCAACTGATTCAGGATTCAAATTTTCAGGAGATGATGGATAAAATTTCCAAATGGCTTCGTACGGAAGGGTTTGTGGGACATCCCAAACTCACAGCCTTGGCCGACACTGTGTTGAATCACTTCATGGACCAGAGTGATAATTCGGCGACTCGTGTAATCGTGTTCAGTGAATACCGAGATTCTGCTGAAGATATTGTGCGCATGCTGAATAAACATCAACCTCTTATCAAAGCTAGTGTCTTCGTTGGACAGGCTGACGGCAAGAGAGGAGAAGGCATGAAGCAAACACAGCAAATTGAGGCAATCAATAGGTTCAAGAAGGGTGATTTTAACGTGCTCGTTGCTACCTCAATCGGAGAAGAAGGACTGGACATCGGACAGGTCGATCTAATCGTATGCTATGATTCTTCGGCATCCCCAATTCGAATGCTGCAACGAATGGGAAGAACCGGCCGAAAACGAGCGGGTAACATCGTGCTGCTACTTATGCGTGGCAAGGAAGAGGATCAATTTGCCAAATCCAAGGACAACTACGAAAAGATGCAAACATTGATTTGCGAGGGAAGTCGGTTCAATTTTCGATTTGATCTCTCGACACGAATCGTTCCGAGAGGCGTTGTACCCGAAGTGGACAAACGACACGTTGACATTCCCGTCGAAAACACACAGGACCAGTCATTGCCGGAGCCGAAGAAGCGTCGAGCACCAGCAGGAAAGAAGAAGCCACCGAAAAAGTTTCATATGCCTGACGGAGTTGAGACGGGATTTCAGAGTGTGGCGAGCATGTTAAAAATTGGTGGGAGAGCAAAACAACAACACAACAAACGCAACCCGGAGCTGGGTGACCTCGCCACAGTGCCTGAACTCAGCAAGGTATTACTCGATGAAGAAGAGCTTAAGGAGCTCAACAGGGCATACCGCAACTTGCCGTTCAATCATAGCATAATTGAGGAGACAGATATGCCTGATATGACAGCGCACCCAGAACTGCAGAGGCAGCTCAGACCAGTATTTAAGCTAAAGCATGGGACACGCACCAAACGCTTTGTCAAAATGTGGCACAAGATGGCACATGATCCAGAAAGCTTGGTTTTGCCGTGTCGATACCAAGATAGGAGCAACTACCTGGAGATACCAGTACACGTATTTGCTGGATCTGAATCAGAAACCGAACCAACAGACGAAACACCAACAACGAAAGCGAAAGGAATTGGAGCAACAGCGTCAGTCAAGAAGAAACAAAATAGAAAGCCACCTTCAAAGGCACAACCTCGTGCGAAACGAAGGAGATTGTCATCCGATTTAGCACTGCAAACATTTGCTGTTGGCTCCACGGTGGATGAGGGCCTTTCTGAAGAGGATGATGAAGAGGATGATGAAGAGGACGAGGTCATACCTAGAGGTCGTGGGCGACCAAAACGAGGCAGCAAGCCTAAATCGAAAGTGAAACGAAAGCCTCGGCAGAAGAAAGGCGGGCTTAACAGCGACGAGGTCGGTGATGATTGTGAACGCGACAGCGATATGATTGAGACTGATGGATCCGACAATGGCGAAGATCTTCTGGACTTCATCGTTTCTGATAATCACCCGATGTCGAGTGGGAGGGAGCCCGTTTCTCTACGAACAAGTTTCTCATCCGCTTCATCAACATCCACTCCTGAGTGTGCCCATGATAAAACAACAAAACCTTTTTATGTGCCGACCCAATTCCCAGGCACGCAGGAAAGTGATGATATTCCAGACCTCGGAGAAGTTCTGAAGATGACCGGGAAGCAACGAGGCCAGGAGTTTTCCGATAACGATGTTATTGTAAGACGCACAGCACGTGGACGGCGAGTTGTTGTGGATGAGAGCGACAGTGATTGATTCGTACGATGGCCTGCAGAAAAATTTTCGGTAATTGGCAACGAGAGAAGTCACTAGAAGAAACGCATCAAGATGTAATGACAAATGGTACATAAGCTATATAGACTATCTTAAAGAACAATTGATGAATGGGCGAATCGCAGTAAGGGTGTCATTGTTTCATATCTTTATCCTGACCGTGTCAATACCTTACGAATCACTCACTGGTGTAGATCCTGCTAGTGTTGGTCAGCCGTGTGACTATATATGATGATCGAACATAACAAGGTGACAACATCTCGAAACTTCAGAAACCCAGTTTATAAGCACCACCGCCCCCGACGCATTTGCCAGGCTCACCGACCGCCCGCTCGCTCATGATTGTCTCCGCGTGCAAACACACGCGAGAGCGGCGCACAGCAGAGACGAAGAGAAGAGCATCTTGTCAGGAGCTTAGCTGGCAAATACATATGCCGAGGGCAGTCTCAGACGGCTCTTCCTATGAGAAATGGAGGGTTTGAAAAAAGGAGCTCATCATGCGAGATTATACAGGAAACAAGTGTGGTGTAACTTACAGGTGTAAATGTGGCTGTTGTGCGTTTTGTTAAGAGCAGAAGAAAGGAAGAAATTGCAGAATCACGACCTGGAGTTTTCTGCGCCTACAGTGGAGAAACAATCCTTTAAGCGATGTGGTCCACTTTAGACGCGGAGGCGCCAACTTCAAACGCGTGCTTTCTAGCCCACAATGGCACCCCTAGACTGGAGAAAAGAAACTCCGAAGAGACTTGTGAAGATCTGACCTTTTCAGGGATAACCACTTACTTATAATAATATGAGGCTTGCAGTGGTTTGTAGAAACGCCGCGGGGTGTCAAAATACGTCAGACGTGGGAAGCCGCATTCACCATACAAAATCAGATCTTCACGTCAGACGTTTTCTGACCACCCCTAGCCTTATTACCCCTCCTGACCCCACTCACGCAAACAGCTTGCAGCTAGAGCGGCTGCTGGCCACCCCCCTTACCTATCCCAACCCATTAATCACATCATTACTTGCTACTAATCTATCCCCCACCCAGGGATATCTTGCTTATCCATTAACATCGCCGAGAGAATAACAATACCCATTGATAAAGAAGCAAGTCATTAGCCATGACTGCGACAGGAACGAGCGTTTCGCTCCTCAAGTTTGTGGGCACCGTCTCGCTGGGCTTACTGACGGTACGTTCGGATTCTACCATTGACCCTAGCAGCTTGTGTATCAAGTGATGTCACAGAATTCTATCACATCTACGCTCGCAAAGAACTGAACATGGCATATGCCTTTGTCTATGGCCTGGTGTAATCATGTTATGTTGTCATGCCTCGTCGCATGCTGCTTCGCATACCATCGAGTTCTTACCAATCTTTGCTAACATTTGTCTTCTAGGGTGTCTCTTATTCTATCACCTCTCTCGCCCTTCCTGTCCTACTCCGACTTCCCTCTTCTAACTCCGCTTCCCACGGTCTCGCCTCTCTAAACGCTGCTCTCAAGACACCCATCCTCGCCCTCACTTCTCTCGCCTCTGCGCCCTTCCTCATCAGCTTTGCTCTCGCTCCCCGCTCCTCTCGCCACCCTTACCTTCTCTATACAGGTCTCCTCGCCACCCTCTCATTCGTCGCTCCCCTTCTAATCCCCGCGCCTGCTCCCCGACATGTCGCATCATCGGCGCCTCGGCAATCCCCAAGAGCTAAAATGGAGGCTAGCTATGAGGTTTTAGGCGACGCTCACAGTGAGCCTGCCAGCGAGGAAGATATTGATGATATCAACGGCGAGGGGGTGAGAGTGGAGGTGGAGGGCCTTGTCCACAGCTACATTGCACGAACAGCCTTCTCTGCTCTGGGTTTCACTATGGCAGTTATTGGAATCTGGGGTGATGGTGCACCTCAGGCAGTTGTCTATGTCTCATAGGAGAGTTTGACACATTTTGCGATTTACTTTACAAGTTGAGAGAGATAAGTTAAACACAATGGCGTTCCCATTTTCTTTTACGAATGATATTTCATGATTAGTTAGGACCATCTCATATCAACAATTCATTTTCGTCTCAAAATGTGAAAACGGAAAAAGAAACATGACAGCCGTATAATAAGTAAATAAACCCCAAAGTCCCCAAGTGCAAGCTTGTTGAGTATCGGTTGAAGACTCGATGCATATTTGAGAAGAAAATCAAATCCTGTGCCTTGATGGCCACAGCATAGACACCACTCAATACAGTGATTCATAAATATCGGAACTTTCATCGGAACTGGAAGAACGACCGTAATCAGAGCCTGACGAACTGTTTTTTGAGCCATGGCGTCGCTTCGTCTCCCAGGCTTGAGACAGACGAGACTTCATCTCCTGGACAGCAAAATCAATCGTTGTGCCGGACTCCTTTTCATCGGGATCGACTTCTTCGTCGTCAACCCGAGCTTGAACGCTGAAATACCTTGACGCTGAGTACTTCTCACCCAATCTCTTAGCAACATCATTGGCTTCATTCAAGCTTACCAACCGGCGTTTCCCGGGATGCTGCTTCATTGTGGTGCGGCAGAGATCCCATAAAACGAGATCGATGCTTCGGGATTCGAGCCTTTTGCTTGAACGATTCTTCTCAACACCCATGGAAGCCAAAATCAGAGGAACTTCCTGTGGCTTGTAGGTGTCACTGAGCCCCAGACTTTCGAGCGATCTCCTCTGCTCTGTTGAATGAGCGTCCATGGCGGCCTCCTGGATAAACTCCTCCGAGTTCTTTCGCAAGGTATCGTGGACGCGATTTCGGTCTTTGATGCTGGGCTTGTCAGGCATGGTAAACTTCTGGCTAGTGAGTTTGTCATGCGCGAGCTCAGCAGGAGTCCGACCGACGGCGTTCTCCCGGTAGACAAGGCTGGGCTTAAATTCTACCAAGACGCGAACAGCGGCAATCATGCCAGTCATAATCGCCGTGTGAAGGCACGTGTCCCCTGCACCGTTGAGCATCTCGAGTTCCTCGCCCTTGGAATACTCGAGAAGGAGCTTGAGCATCAGGACCAATTCCTTCTCTTGGCCAATGTATGGCTTAGCATACCCTGAGCCGTTATATCTGCGGTAATTGTTGCGATTGTCGGCACCAAGTGCCATTCCTGAAACTTGAGAAATCCAAGCGTGTACGGGGGTGGTGCCGTTCTCGTTGAGGTTCTTTCGCTGGAGGAAAAGATGGCTGCGAAGGCCTGAGTCCAAGAGGTCCAGAAGCTCACGAAGCTGATATGCCTTGGGGCTGCGTTCGATTGCTGCATGGAGGATATTTTCACCCCTTTGGTTCCGAGTCGACTGATCCGCATTAGCTGCTAGCAAGATTTTGACTGCGTCGATTCTTCCAAGGCGGCAAGCTACCATCAGCGGTGTATCACCTTCAGAGTTCTTCTTCTCGATGAAGTCTGGGCAAGTTTCAACAAGATAATCAAGCAGCTCGTTAGCATTGTCTCCAGGATACGCCAAAACCGCGCAATGAATCACGAGATCATCTGTCAACAGAGTCAGTACTGTTTGCAAAGATTTTGGTTGAAGTGCTTACTATCAGCTCCAAGCCACTTGGAGATTGCGCGGTCGAATCCGCCAGGACTCTCCTTCAAATGCTTGAATCTTGAGTCCTCCTTGGAGGCCTTGGACTTGGCAAACTCGCCATACAACCTATGCGGGGCATCTCCAAGAAAGAGTTCGACGCTCTCCACACTACCACCCAGAGCAGCATGGAGAAGAGGCGGCGTCCTCAGTCCGCTGCTTTTGATAACCATACCACGTCCAGCATTTGCCCAATCCTTTCTGTGAAATGAATCAGTGGTGAGTAAATAAGACGATGGACGTTACTTCGTACCTTTTCCTGCCGTAGACGGTCAGTCCCTGGTAATATCGCGGCTTTCGCTTCAGCTCGACACCACTCTTCTTGACGAGATGATCAAGTGGTATGCCTGCCCCAGTCCGTTTGATTACTAGGGCGAGCAATTGAGTCTTCCCGTGCTCAATTGCCCACTTGAAATCCGACTGGGGGAAGGTAAAGCTGCAGGTCGAGCCTTCGTCCTCTTGATCGGCGTCATCGCCTTCAAACTTCTGACCTGAATAGTGTTGTGCCAAGTCCAAAAGGAGCTTGAGGCCAGTAGTATCGTTGGTGTCGAACGTGTGGACGAATAAGCTTCTCTTCTGATATCGGTACTCAACCTTCTCCTTCTCAATCAACCAGCTTGGAACCGATTCACATATGATTTGGAGGGGTTTGGTATGAGACTCCACCTCCATAGAAACATGCCCAATATCGTCGATGGTGAACTTGTCCTGCACCTTCTCAGACACTATTCGTGGTTCGTTCTCGCTGGAGTTATCAGAGTCATCGGAATCAGACTCATACTCCTCGTCTTCGTTGCCAGCCTCCATTCTGAAGCGGACCTTATCCTTTTTGGGTGGAGACCATTGTGCCTTTACAATTTCAAGCAAAGCCCTTGCTAGGTCATGGTGTCCTCGAAGGAAGGCTACCGAGAAAGGAGTGTTGCCCATGTTATCCGAGACAGCGATCTTGAGCGGTGGTTGATCCTTTTCGGCACCCCAGGCTTGAAGGGAGAGCTCCTTGACCTTCTCAATGTCTCCCGCCCACGCAGCCTCCATTCTGTTCCAATTAGATAAGACAATGAAAAGCGATCTGGATGTACTTACAGCTCAATGTAGCCATCTCTTCTCTTTTCCGTCATATCACGGTCATTGTTGAATGAGAAGTGAAACTCGAAAGGCTTGATGGCCTTTTTCTCGTCCTTGATTCGGCTACTTGTGCTTGAGGCATTGTTCCTCAGATTCGTCTTGATGTCAGGATGCAACTCATCGAAGATTTTACCACCTCGGCTTATGAGTTCTTCTTCAAGGGCTTTGAAGCCTGCTGATAGCTCCTTGATTGCTTCCAGCTTTTCCGGAACTCCTTTAGGCTCTGGATTCTTCTTGATATCCTCCTCATATCGCTTGAGACGAGACGCGAATGACCTCTTTTGACTCCCAACTTGCTCTGAAACAACCCAATGAGAGTAACTTCCAGGAGTGAAGTGACTCAGGAATTCATCCATCCCCGGGGTCTCCCTTGGTTTCACAAGTCCGTTCGTTTCAACGGTGAATCCACGAAGACGCTTCAGCGACTTCTGGACCAGGTCTAAAGCTGATTGACCCTTGTTCCAGTTTCTCTGATACTCATTGAAGATTAGCCGATGTGTCTCTGTATTCAGTGAATTTGGGTCGGCGCCGCCTTCAAGAAGCTTGATTGCAACGTCTGTGCGACCAGATCGGATGGCGGTGATTAATGGCTGTTCAACAGTCTCCTTATACATCTTCTGGTTGGTCTCCAGATTGCCCAGGCGCCCAGACATGTCGGAGACCTTGGCGGACTTCAACCAATTATCGAAGTCGATGTGAGCTGCAGCACCAGCAGTCAGCAGCTTCAATACCAAAGCGACATCACCACTCTGAACCGCAGTGTTGATCGGAGCAATAGTCTCTGCGTTCCAATAACTTCCATCGCAGACCATGTGATTGATAGCTGCCTTGATGCCCGTCTTGTCGTTATCCAGGAGCGTATCGATGAGTTCCACCTCTCCAGATTCAACATATCTGTGGAAAGCAGTGCATCCTTTTGAATCAGCTTGGGCAGATGTTGCACCGAGTCGCATGAGGAGATTTGCCATCGATTTGGCCTTGTCATTAGGCAGTGTCAAGGCCAGAACTAGTGTCAGAATCACACGACTGTCGCCATGTTCCGCGAGAGACTTGACGGGCAGAATCGAATCGGTCCCGTACTGTGTAGTATTTGTCAGTAAAAACTCCTTGACATCTAGGTTAGGGAGTCAGATTGATTTCACTTACATCACAAAGAACCCTGACAGCATCCTCGTTGCCTTCTGCGATGGCAAGATGAAGAGGAGAACACTGGAGATCCCATGCTAAGGCGTCAACATTGAAGAAATCCGGCTCGTCTTGTGACTCTTCGGGAACAAGATCCTCAGCATTCTCTGCTTCAACTTGCTTTATCTTGACGAAAGACCCAGTAGTCATAGATGCGGCATCGGCATCTGTTGTCTCGTCATCAATAATCTCGCCATCTGATTCTCCATCGGGATCTGATGCAGCACCCTCGTTACGGACCCCGTCATTATTGTCAGAACTGGGCTTCTTTGCTGCTCGGCGCTTCTTGTCCTGTCGTTCCTCTTCAGCCTCTTCGTTTTCGATTGACTTCTCCATCAAAATTTTGATAATCTCCACATCACCTCGTGAAGCAGCGAGGTGTAGGGCATTCTTGCCATCCGCCAGTCGTGCAGTCAGCCGTGCACCGCGCTCAACAAGACACTTGATGACCTCTGGCGTCGATGTCATCACGGCGAGGTGGAGAGGGGTTCTGCCAGTGTAGTCTCTCTTGTTAGGGTCGGCATCTTCCTGGCTTAGCCAGTTTGATACGTCGTCAACGTCACCATCGACGATTGACTGGCAAAGCCTGGTAACGTTACCCACATACGCCATATCAGTCCAGTCTTGCTCAGTCAGAGGGTTGAAAGAACCAATTTGCTGTCGGCCAGGGTCGTCGATCAAGAAGGAGACTTTGCCTTTGATATAAATCTCAGCCTCCTTCTCTGCAACTTCCTTTTCCTGGTCCGTAACAGGCTCTGGGCAGCAACCGCAGCAGTCTTCAATCACGTCTTCTACACGCCCAAAGAATGCAGGGTGGCGATGCAGGTAAACCTCTCGATCATCGGGCTGGTTCCATTCTGCATTGAGAAGAAGATCGCGCGTATAACAGAGTTTCTCGATCCGCTTGGCATTGAAGTGCTGCCCATAAGGTACAGTGAAGGTATGATAGTTACTAACGTCCTCCTCAGACAACCAATCAGCAATTTCATCCTCATGATAGTCCTTGATGTTGCCGTGGAGGACCTGGTGGGATCTATAAACCCTGGGCCGGCCTCGCTCCTCACGTCTCTTGTCGAGATAAGTATCTCGAGCTGTGGTGGTTGGAAGTCGTTCAAGAACAAGGAGACGAGCCAAGCCTAGAGTTCTTCTGAAACTTCTTTCGAAGATGGTTGGATCGATCTGGTTTCGATCGAGTTCAGGCCAGTAGACCTCAAAGTTTCTGTGTGAATACTTTGACAGTCGATTCTCGTAAGAAGGGCTTCGACGAGTAAGATCAATGTGGTTGATTTGCGTGATGAAGCTTCCGAGAGCCCGGGGAGTCACGTATACCTGAGTCCTGTTAGACCAAGCCAAAAACTCCGGACCCCCTTGCTAAGACAATGTGTTCTCGTGACGTATGCTGACTTACCTGAGCTCCATCATATGCTCCACCTGCAGCGTCAATGTCAAAGCCAGTGAGGATTTCACTAACAGATTTGTAGACGCGGAGAACAATCTGGAATACAATCAGTGATCATTATGGTAGACGTGAGGCAGTGTGGGTTTCTGTACCTGAATGTGCCGAACAGGATATTGACTAGCAATTGTAATTGCATATTTTGTTCTCACGACTGTTACCTCATTCAAAAGAGCATCTTTGATTGCCTGTTCAATCTGTTTGATCTTGTCGATGGCCTGATCGTGATTGAGCCCATACAGAAAGAGATCAACATCGGAAGCAGGGCAGAACTTCTCGTGGTAATACTCTCGGAGTTTTCTTTTGGTTGTGTTGAACTCTTTAGGGACAGGCAGAAGACAGTTGACGACTGAAGAACCAGCAGCCACAACGTTTGACCAGTCTAAGTCAGCCAGTGATGATTCTGAGAATATGTTGAAGTTCTTCTGGAACTCTTCGAGGTTCGCAACCGTCGCAGGGGAGTCATGAGCACGACGCTTATCATCTGGAAGAGCCATTATGTACTTTGACTTTTCCTCGTCAGACTCGGCGTCCAGATTACGTGCGCGAGTGGTGATGAAATTGGTATTCTCAGTAAAGAGGGGAACCACATTGAGATAGGGGTCACCGAGGATTGGGTTCTGGCGATCTTGTGCATATATAGATCGCAAGTTCGCTTCATACTCGCGATATGGCTCCATGATTTCAGTGATGTTTATGTCTTTGTGGTCAAAGATGTACTTCGCCAGCTCCGAATGAGGAGCAGGGAGCTTTGGGAGATTGGCCATTTTTGTTGGGAGATCAGGAATTCTAGACGTAGAAGAAAAGAGCTCGAAGGATGGGCTGGGAAATAGAGAAAACAAGGAGGCTGAGGGTGTGTAGGGGAGAGAAAACGTGTATAAATGCGAAGTACTGAGCTCGTTCAATGCAGATGACACAAAGTGATCTTGTTGCAGTAATCAAACGAATATGATATCAAGCTATTAGAGCGACTTAGGTACTCAGAGAAAGAACACCCGAGCAAGAGAGGATTTCTCAACAGTTTTATATACACATGAATGGAACTTGCCCAAATGCCAACCCCTCCTCTTTGACCTGACCAGCTGAAGCCATCCCTACCGCCATCAATAGAAGTCTACCCCACTACCCTACGGCTAAATGTCAGTGAGGTTAGACCGCGTCCCACAACGCGTGTTAGTGGCAGCTTCCTGGGGTACAGGGGTATGTGCTGCCTAAAATGGCGAGCAGCCAACACGCGAAAGCTCGTGATCTTGGCCAACACCTTAACCAAAGAGACCCACTGATGCCTGGCTTGGAAGGCAGCATCTACTTATTGAGATGATCGTTATCACATTCAATGGTCTGGTTGCGGTGAGACAGCGTGAATTGGAATTATTTCCCGCCAGAAGTCGTGAAATGGTCGGCGATGGACTCTTTGGGATTTTAGTCAGGCAGAAAACCCCTAAATTCCACTCGAATCGACACTGACTGATCAGTCAAGAACTTGACTAAATACACACTATTTTAGTAGTGCAGGTCAATTGATTGAATATAACATACGATCTCGGTGCAGACCCATACCAAATTATGAAACATCCGTCTGTTGTCTTCCGCTATCTTCATTTAGATAAGTAACCATTCTATTCTGTTCGTCCATGTAGCTTGAATATACCTCTACGATTGAGTTGCAAACAACGTTATGAAGTATAAAACCGCAATTGCGCCATGACATGCTTCGGTAGTTGGTGGTAACAATGAAAGCTACCTAGTACCTTATGCAATGGAAACAAATAAAAAGAGAGCCATTCAGAGGCTGAATGCCTACCGCTAGAATGGCACGTCTCTAAATTTGAAATCATACTCCAAAGTTGGCAGTAAATTAAGGCAGAACAGTGAATCACGTGCTCTCGCACCTCCCACTTTAGTACCAAACGCGTGACGCGCTAGAGCGGGACAGCCACCTTCGAACCCTGGGCCATGATAACAAGCAGAGCTTTTCCAAATTCAATCATTTTGCCACGACTCGAGATATCACAATATACCAACTACTCGATGTTTCTGACAAAGGCAGCTGAAAGACGCTCCGACATCATAGTGTCGGCTTCATGACTCGCAACAACCTTGCCGAGCATCTGTCCTGGCTGTTGAATGATCAAGCCTGCTCCAAGCCTGTAACGCCATCTTTTCCAGTCTGTAGCGACTCTTCTCAGATTAGCTTGCCTCAATCTCAACACTCAAGCTCCCAAGCACGACAAAACATACGGACTACTACATCTGACCGCCCCGAAGTCGTTACTCGAGGGAGAAGCGACGCGTCGGGTACATCCAATGGACGGGCTGGATTGGGTCCAATATCGCGGCAGACGGACCAGGTGATATTCGACGACGAGGAAGACGTCATGGGACGCCTTGTGCTCAGCTCGAAAGCCAAGAAACCCAGCCTTGTTTCCAAACCACAGCAATTCCCTACGCCTTCAGCTGCCACTCAGGACATTTCAACCCAGCGAGATGTTATTGTCAAACGATCGAATGAGTCGCCACCCGAAAAAACACAAGTTCCAGTGTCGGCTCCAGCCCGACAGCCCACGAGTAGTCCCGACTTTCCAGATCTCAAGACTGGCGGTATCGATTATATGGACTTGACCGACGATACCTTTGCTTCTTCCGATTCATTGTCTTTCGATAGTGACGTGAAGCTATGGCGCGAAGACTATGCGACTCGACCAGAACCCGAGCCGGCCGTGTCAAGCGGTAGGAAGAGGAAGAGCAATGAGATTTCCAAAGAGGAATTTAGCGATTTCGGTGATCTACCCGACGTCTACGAACTTCTAGGCACCGAACCTCCACCTCCAAGCCCGACACGATCCGCTCGACGCAAGAATGGACTGTCTAGTACTCGAGCTCGTCAAATCCGCGACATCCCATCAATTAGTGAGGAAGACCATGTTATGTTGTCGCCTTCAACTCGGGTTCGCAACCAGTTTGTCCGCGAAAAGAGAACAGCCCACTTAAATGAGTCCAATCAGGACCTGAAAGGTTCTACAAACCCATTGAAGGCACCCGCAAGCTCTGGAGATACCAAATCACTACCTCGAGCACCATCACTACCGCCAAATACAACACCTACAGGGGATGAGCTAGTTATTCCCGACTCTGATGACGAGTTTCTTACACCGCCGTCTCATAATGACTCTCTCACTATTTTGAAGGCTTCCACGGTCGGAAGCGACAGCGTTGAGTCGCCGGAGCTCAAGCCTCCTATATCGGCTGTCAAAATTGACCTCCATACGACCTCCCAACGTCAAATTTCGTCTGGCTCAACTATTACTGGCGAGCCAACAAGCACAACAAACAGCTCACAGTCCAATAGACCGATAGCTGGCGATAGTCTTCACGAGTCACGCGGCGGGGCCTTTCCTCCCTCCAGCCAAGAACCGGTTCTCCTCAAGCAATTGGCTTCCGACTCAAATGCCTTGACCAATTGGGCGGAGTTTCTCGATAGACTCATTCAAGAAAATGGAAAGAAGTTTTCGCAGGCAATAAACGAAAGATGGTCGAAACCGCAGCGTGCAGAGGTCAAGGCTGAGAAGGAGCGTCTGAAACGGCAACGATCTGCTATCGCTGAACTCGCTGGCCCAGTCGAAGAATACAGAATCCTCGGCGAGAAACGAGAGAGGCTGGCCCAGCAGATCGCTCAAGCCTATGAGGAGAGTCTCGATACAGACGAGGACGAAGTTCGGTTAGATGATCTTACTGATGAAATCCAAGAAGTTGAAGATGGCCTCCTTAAAAGCATTCGGGATGCTAGGCTCGATGTTGGCGGGTTTCTTGCGACCACTAAGACCTCACATCTTGGTCCAGCCCCTGCACCAGTTGTCGTACTAGGTACTCAACCCGTCTTTCAAAACAATGTCAATATGTCGATGGCTTCACGAGATGCCATCCCAGCCAGCGAAACGGGCACACAAGTGGTTCATCAGACTCAGTTACCCAAAACAAACGCTTGGAACCCCCCAGCCTCTAGAATTGAAGCATCGCAAGAGCTAAGCGTTCTTTCACAGGAGGATGACGACCCTTCTGCACTATTCCCAAGAGATCCTACAAGAGCGTCAGGAGCGCCTTATCAACAGGGACGGATACTTAAATCTAGGCCAGCAAGTCTCATCCCTGTGGATGCAGAGTTTGATGTCAGTGACGAAGAGCCGTCGGATCCTGAAGACATTCAGTCTCGTACCCAGGCCCGGCCTCCAAACATATTCCCACATCTGAGTAGTAGTAGCCGACGGACGCCGCAAGCGACACATCACCGAGCGTGCGATGAATTCAGTGATTTCAGCGACGATGAGGAGATGCTCGCTTTTGCACAGGACTACGAGACCCGTCAATCTCTGGCACCCGAATCGCAAGACCAGAGAAAGATCTTTTCAGAGACGTCGGGTAATGCGCCAGCAGCGGCAAAGTTACGAGCGATATCAAAAAAGTCGCTACCCTTGATGGCTTCTGAAGCGATCCCTGCCCAGCTGATGAAGTACCCATGGTCATCCGAGGTCCAGAGGATGCTTAAAGATCGGTTCAGAATGAAGGGTTTCCGTTGCAACCAGCTCGAGGCAATCAATGCTACGCTTGGAGGCCAAGATGCCTTTGTACTAATGCCGACGGGCGGCGGCAAGTCACTGTGCTACCAACTGCCGGCTGTTGTCAAGACTGGAAAAACTCGTGGTGTCACAATTGTTGTGTCGCCATTGCTCAGCCTGATGCAAGACCAGGTTGATCATATGAAAGCTTTGGGGATACAGGCCGTTGCGTTCAATGGAGAGTGCTCAGCTGAATACAAGAGGCAAGTCATGAGTGCTTTCAATGAGAAAAGCCCGGAACACTTTCTGGAACTATTATATGTTACCCCGGAGATGGTGAGCAAAAATGTCAATTTCAACAGCGGGCTGGAAACGCTTCATCGTAAAGGAAAATTCGCACGTCTTGTGATCGATGAGGCACACTGTGTCAGTCAATGGGGTCATGATTTCCGCCCAGACTACAAGATACTTGGTCAAGTACGCCAAAAGTACCCAGGAGTGCCTGTTATGGCCCTCACAGCTACCGCGACCAAGAACGTCATTGTCGATATCAGGCACAACCTGGGAATGGACAACTGCCAGATTTTCTCACAAAGCTTCAACCGCCCGAATCTGTACTACGAAGTCCGCCCGAAGACAACAAACGAGAAGGTTATGGACGCAATTTCTTCTCTTATTCATTCCAGATATGCAAATCAGAGTGGAATTGTCTATACTATCTCACGAAAGAACGCTGAAAAGGTTGCTGAGAGCCTCTCGGGTAACGGTATCACGGCCAGGTTTTATCACGCAGGTTGCGATCCCCAGGAAAAGGTCGAGGTTCAGAATTCCTGGCAGAGAGGACATGTTAAAGTTGTGGTTGCTACAATCGCATTTGGAATGGGTATTGACAAGCCTGATGTGAGGTTCGTTATACACCATGGTCTTCCAAAGAGCCTGGAAGGCTATTATCAGGAGACTGGCCGCGCAGGCAGAGATGGCAATCCTTCTGACTGCATTCTTTTCTACGGAAAGGCGGACATAAGAGTCCTGAAGAAGCTGATTGCGGATGGAGATGGTAGCCACGATCAAAAAGAGCGCCAAATGTCTATGCTGAATAGAGTTACGGCTTTTTGTGACAACAAATCTGATTGTCGAAGAACTGAGATTCTTCGCTATTTTGGGGAAGACTTTTCTGCAGCACAATGCAGAAAAAGCTGCGACAACTGCAAGGCTGGGTTGACTTTCGAGCAACAAGACTTTTCTGAATATGCCGTTGCTGCCATCAAAGTTGTCCAAGCCCAGAACCGCATCACGGCAGTGCAATGCTCCGATATTCTCTTGGGGAAAAAGTACCCCGCGAATGAAGCAGAACTTTCTGACGAGTGGCATGGCATGGCAAAGGGCCTTAAGAAACATGAGCTGATCCGAGTCATCGACAAGTTGTCGGCCGAAAAGGCTTTCAATGAGGATAATCAGGTTGGTCGCCATGGCATGGCGATTCAATATCTACGTCTTGGACCAACATATCGATCGTTCCTCTCGGGTCAACGTAGGTTGATGCTGTCGATTCAGGTGCCGGAGCCTGGTGCAGCCAAGAAAACCCCCAAGTCTCGCTCCAAGAAAGGCGGCAAGGCATCGGCCGAGGAAGAAGCCTCGAATATGCCCTCAACGTACGTTTCTTCGCCTGTGGGCCGGCAGAAAAAGAAGTCGCGGACGACCGAGACTGATCGCGGGAACACTGGGCAAACAGCATACTCGTGGGAGGATGCAGGTTTTGTAGTGGACGATGATGATGACTACGACGACGCCTTTGACAATCTCCCCCAACATCGGCCCGCGAAGCCACCCTCTCGTACTTCCGGGCCGCCGATATTGGTCGATACTGACCTGGGAAGCCTGGATGAAACACACCGAGACATGGTTGAAAGTTTTGTAAGGGAAGCAAAGCAAACAGAGGAGAAGATTCGCAACCAGAAAAGCTTGAGAAGGCCTTTGTTTACCGACAAAGACTTCCGACTCATGGCTATTCATTGGACTACCTCCCTCGAGAAGATGCGCAGGATCCCAAGCATCGACCCCGACAAAGTCAACGATTACGGTCCTAGGATCCTCCGCATTTTGCAAAAACACTACAATCACTATCGAGAAGCCATGGATCCTCGGAGTGGTAGCCGAAATCAGGACGTGGTGGACCTTATCAGCTCGGAAGTCGAGATGGATGATGAAGGCCTCGAGGACGAAGACGGCGAGGATTCGCACTACTTCAACGGCAGCTCAAGGCC